CCGAAAAAAAGTACACACAGATCGCACGGCCCCTTGACTGCGACCACCTCCTCGTTCGCCGCCGACCTTCCCACCGACGCTCCGCCCAAAGCCACCCAGCGTCACCCACAACCACCGCCCACATCTTGTACTCGCTGAGAACGCCTCCGCGCAGGTCTGCCTCCGCGCAAGTCGCAGCTCGCCGCTCGGCGAAATTCCACCATTTCCCGCCGCCCAGACCCAACGACCAAACTTTAACGTCACGAGATCGCTCGCCGAATTTCATAAATCAAGACGGTCGCTCTCAACCACCACGAGTCGCAGATTTCGCCGCTCTATGTGGAGGATAGCCTCAAATTCTATGGGGATTGCGGCAACGACGAAGACGTTGCGGCTGTGGCAAGGGCTACGGCGGACATCGGCTAGGGCACGACCGGAGCATAATTCCATTTTGATTGGGTGCTGAGAAAATTCAATTGGGGTTGGGCTTTGATATAAAAATTGGATAATTTCTAGGACCTTTGTGCAATTTCAAACATTCTAATATAATTACAATTTGATTTAAAAAGTTGATAAATGCACATTATTGTTAATTGATATGCACAATGTAGAAAGTGTATATGCGCATTAAAAATGTCCGTCAACGTAATGCACAAAACCGAGAAAAAACGACCAAAACCGGCGTGATACAGAATTTAGTTCATTTATTTATGTCAGTCCTGTTATCGAGTTTTAATTTTAATTTTTTTGGCTATTTTGATTTAGATTTTTTTTTTATTTTATATAAAATGATAAAATATTAAAATACTAAATATGCATATACACGAAATGTTTAATATTCTATTTAATGCACATTAAAAATATATTTTAATTTAAATCATGTGTTAAATTTATAATTTACAGAATTTTAGATAATTTCACATTAATATATAAAAAAAAAAACCTTTAATTACACAATAAATTTTCAAAAAATTATTGATTGCACAATAATTCATATTTGCACATTAAAAATGCATGTAATGGGTAAAGGGCCTAATAATGTTATAAAAGTTGAATATTAATTTATGTGAGATTGCACTTTAGCGTAACAGCGTGTCGACCAAACGGTCGAAGTAAAATTTTTGGTGTGGTTTT